TAATAAAAAATCAATCCAGATTATTACATGATCACATAATCATGGAATGAAATCGTTCTCACATACCTAAAGGTTGTAATAACTCCGGGAATAAGTCATTAAACCATTTATACACTCTTGGTGTAACAACTGTCTTTTCAATTCTATTTTGCTACAATATATAATAATAAATTAGAGCTGATTAAAAGTAATTAGTATATCTATGTAACACTTACACCTTCAATACAAGAATATTTTGCAGGGCAATATTCATCTGATTACATTATCGTTATATGTTAATAATAATAATAATAATAATAATAATAATAATAATAATAATAATAATAATAATAATGATAATAAAATAATAATAATATCTTACCTGTAAAGAATGGCAAGCGCGAATAATCTTCTCCAAGATTGTATGCTTCATGCCAAATTAAGTGCATGTTATTTGCAACAACTGATCGAAAATCCGTATTACCGTTGACTTCACTAAGCCATTTTTTTTAAAAATACTATCATCGTTTCTATGTTCGGTTATCCAGTCAAAAAAATTGAATCTAAAATCTTCAAAAAGAACACTCTGATTATTATATATATAATCGAGCACATATTTCACCAAATGTGCTTTCCATAAAAATGCAATCCAAATATCATGGTACATAGGTTGTGGTGTGCGGAGTGTGTACCACACTTTGTCGTTAAGATTTGATTTGATCAAGACCTCTAAATTTGATTCTTCCAATCCGAAACCACTAATTGAAAATGTTTTGAAAATTGCCTATATGATAAAAAATCAACGTTAATGTTTGATTATATAAATCTGTAAGAAAACAATTGTAGACCCATACAAACCCTTTTACACGCCATATTCTTGTCATCTTCAACAACATTACCATCCCAAAATACATTTCTTTCAGTACCCTTTTCCGGAAAAAAATCCACAACCTTTAGGTATGTGAGAACGATTTCATTCCATGATTATGTGATCATGTAATAATCTGGATTGATTTTTTATTA